TTGTTTACAGTTGTTTGGCATGGTCCATGTTGTGCGTGAGGGGGCGTATTAGAATCCCACATTACTTGGGAGGTGGAAATTACACCAAACCCTATCTTTCAAAATCCAACTTCAAAAATCAGATGCAAGGTTTGTTTATTCAAAACTAAAATTTTTTATATTTATATATTAATTATTAATTATATAAATTTCATCAAATCCCTAATTAGTAATTCCCCTAAAATCATCACCTCCTCCTCTCTCTCTCTCTCTCTCTCTCTCTCTCTCTCTCCTCGGCCACTCTTCTTCTCCATTTCACTTTCTCTCTCTTCGCCGCTCGTCGGAGGAGGAGTCCCTCTCATCGCCGCCACAGGCGATACGGGTGCCGGTGTAGGAGACTTGTGAGCAACAGAAGTATTGGTTAATGCCGAAGATGGACTTGGAGAGCAATCTGACGGCGGAGGCACCGAAAGGGAAGAAAGTGCGAGGAAATGAGCAGAAGATGGCGATTGCGATGGTGTTGCAAGAGACGGGAGAGGTGGCAACGAGAGTGCGTCGGCCGAAGGAGAAAATCCAGTGATTGCTCAAACATCAGTCACCAGTGTGAGTCTCACGGTTTTAGATGCGTTCTTGGGTTGCGTAGCTACTGCGACGGCTTCGTCCTTGCAGCGATCTGCGAAGCTCCCTTGGTGGTGGCGACGGTTTAATGGTATTGGTGGCACTGGTGTGTTGGGTTTTGTTGGTGGTGGCAGCGGTGCATCTATATAGGGTGGGCTGTGTTGATAGCGGTGTGGTACGAGGTGGTGTGAGGTGGTGGTGTACGTTAGGGTGCGAGGTGGTAGCGGCGGCGTAGATGCCTATGGGCTGAATTCAATGGATACGGTTGAGGTCAGAAAGTGCCTTTGTTGCAATGATCACTGCGCTATCTGGGGGAAAATCGTCAGAGCTTTTGGGGTAGTTGGCCGGTGGTTTGAAATGGTGGCAATGTTTGTAGTTAGTGGTGGTACTGGCCGTCGAAGTGGTGGTGGTGGTAGTCCTCTCTTCTCTCTCTTCTGTACTATCTTTTTTCTTCTCACTATCTCTTCTCTCTAGCAGTGGACAGTGGCGGAGGGTTTGGTGTTTGTGATGGACTATCTGTGACCTTAAAATTCTACAATTTGTGACTATGAGATGGTGTCATGGTGGTCACAAGTGTTGGTTGTGGTCACAGAGTGTACTATTTTTTCTCTTCTCACTCTCTCTTCTCTCTAGCAGTGGACGGTGGCTGAGTGTTTGGTGTTTGTGTTGGACTATCTGTGACATTAAAATTCTACAATTTGTCACTAAAAATTAATCGGTGACCTGTAATTTTTTAATTCGTGACCAATAAAATAATCTGTAACTTTAAAATTATTGATTTGTGACCATGAAATAATCTGTAACCTCCAAAAATTTTGATCTGTGACTGATATACAAATTGTGACCTATAAAAGTGTTGGACTGTGACCTGAGTTGTGACTTGTGACCTGAGTTGTGACATGGGCTGTGACTTGTGAATTGGACTGTGACTCGCGACTTGAGTCATCGGTAACGGTCAGCGGAATCGGAGCAGTTGCCGGAACGATCACCGGAATAGTCAACGGAGCGGTCGCCGGAATCGGAATAGTTGCTGAAACGGTCGTCAGAAGTTCCCCGGAGTAGGGCGGTGATCGAAATGGACGCCGGAGCGGTAGGGTGGCGAAGGTGGGATGGATTAATTATATTATATTATAATTAAATATTTAATAATTTATTATTTCATAAATAAAAATTTTAAAAATTTTTAAAAAAATCTGATTTTGAAAATTTCAAACTTGTTTTCTTATTTTTTAAATAGGCTAAACGTATTCTCTTGAATATGTAATCTTCC